CCATAGTCCAACCTGTAGGTTGGCAACCTACAGTTTTAGAGGTCTGCATCACTGGCACCACAAAAGACAATTAAAGTATATGTTATCCGTGTTTTGTCGTGTAAAATTCGTGAATAGACTGATGGGACAGACATCTTACAGGCACTTTGCATTCCCTTCATAAATCTCGTGGCGGGACAGAAATCCGGTTTTTGGTATTCATTCCCAGGTGTTACTGAAACTCATTACCCAGGTACTACCGGCCAAAAATAAAATCTCTTGGCCAGTCATTCCACGATGACTTTCCCAGGTACCAATCCTCCAATCCTCCACTGACTGGTGCGTCGAAAGCAGGGAATGAGGGTGCCTGGATCCAATAGAATCTCTATTGGGGGCGAGCTCCTTCCCGTAACTTCCCTACGAAATCGTCGCACCAGTCAGTCCAGGTCCTCCAGGTCCTCCAGGTCTTTCGGTCCATGAGGAGCACTTCGCCGCGCAGTACTGGAACGCCTCGCTGCGGCAGCGCGAGCGCCTGGACGCCCTGACGGAGGCCGTGCACCGCACGGCGGCCGGGCTGCGGGCGCAGCTTGGTGGAAGAGGGAGGAGGCTTCAGGGGGGTCCCAAGAGAGGGGGATGGGCTATAGGGCTGTTCAACCTGTCTTGGATCCTTTCTAGAGATTGGGTGACCTATGACCTTTTGGGTGACCTTATAGATTGGGATGATTGGGTCTGTCTCAACTTGCCTGTAACAGGACACGTAAACAAGCAGAAGGCCTGCAACCTTACTAACCATCATCATCCACTGTTACTGGTATTAGGATAGACCCAAGAGGATGGAGACGTTGGTGCTGAATGCTCACACCTCGGGTCGGGAGTGAATTACCTCTCTTTGAGGCGGTGGATGTTCAAAGGCAAACGCACCATTGACTGCGAAGTTGTTTTCGGTAGATGTGAACTAAACTCAGTTGGAGGGTTTGCCACGTGGTGGAGTAGGACACCTTGGAAAACAAGGAGTAGGACTCCTGGCGTTCTTGATTGAGGATTTAGCTGTTTTTGTGTGTTCCAAATAGTGTTGGAGTGGTCTTGAGATGGTTCACACACACCCATCCCAGTGGTGCTGCACTGAACGTGGATTTGGATGGTAGCTATAGTGGTAGTTGGCAGATAGCAGAGTAGGTTGGTCTTCCATCTCGAGAACCACCGACAAACGGACCCACAATCCAAGCATATCCAAGGGATTTTTGGTATCAGAAATAGTGCCGAGTTCCAACTATAAGGGCCTTCTATGTTTATGTTATTCAGATGAACATATGTGCTCTTAAAGCTTCCAACATCTTCCAAAAGCAGACTGTCTTAAGTGAAGCAAAGTATTTCCCCCTCTCTTGTGGCTCGGTTCGGGAAGTGACTCTTCCCCCGCCTCACTTCGAATCCCCCCCAGGCTGGGCATCAATGCCTTCCTGGAATCCGCCGGTCTCATTGGCTGGCTGCGCCACCATCGTTCGCAGCTGCCCTGGGACTCGGACCGAATCGCCGCGCTCGGTGCATCGAACCGGTCCCCGTTGCGTCCCAAACCGGTGGACTGGGCCGACCGGTCAAATGGCGCCCAGGATGCGGTGAGAAGCTGCGTGGGACAAACTGAAGGTGCTGCTGTTCAGTAGTTACATGCCTGCCTTACGACCATGATGGATCCTTTCTCCCAGGTTTTGAAACGTAGCCATACCCTGAGCCTTCTGTTGGACCATGAAATAGAAAGGTTGACCTAGTAGTGTAGTCACAGTCAAACTGCAATTGGCTAAACTCATCTTAGACCCTTATTAAGTAAAACTCATAAAGCTTGTTGGAAACCGGGCAAACAGTGACTGCTGCATCTCCACCCGGACCCACCCACCTACCTACCTGCCCCCCGGCGAGGACGGGGATTTGGGCATCCTGGCCGAGGAGTGCCGAAGCTCCGGTGCGACCAAGCAGGACTTCGCCAGGCGAGAGGGAGGTGAGGGAGGTGCGTGGCTGGTGCTTGGTGCTTCAGGGTGGTGGTTTTGTTGGGTTGGTGTAGTTGATGAGGATAGGCGGGTGGCGAGGCTGGTGGCTGGTGGCTGTTGGGTTTGTATTGAGGTCTTTTCCAGCATGCTGAGGTCCTTGGGCGACGACTTCTCGGTTTTGAAGTTCGCCTGCGCCTGCGAAGAGGATTGCGAGGGCGACAACCGCCGCATGGCGGGCCGAGTGGCGCATAAGAAGACGGGAGTTTCTGGGAAAGCAGGCAGGCGGAGTGAGGAGTGAGTGGTCTGTCGATTTTGGAGTTGAATAGTTCGGGTCTCATTTACTGATTGGACTTCAGCTTACCTATAGGCAATATTCACGGTTGCTGTCTATGTTGGCTCCCTTTGTGTTTTCTCTTCTCATCAAGGAAGGGCCCTGTACTTTGGCCTGTCTTGTCGAACGGGTGGCACACCCACGGCATTGGCCATGCAGACTTCCATCAAACGGTTGGCCTGGTTCCTTGATGTTCCTTGTGTCCTTCCCCTGTGCAGTATTGACAAGATTGGATTCTACAAAAAAAGGCCTCCACTTACAGCATGTCCTCCACGCACCAACCCACACATAGACAGTCTATGCAACTCTCTATCATACCACCCCCAACCCGAACTCCTTTACGCACCCCCCCCCAAAGAGAAACCATTCCTGGCCAACACCCAACCGGAAGAACAACGACTGGCGGCGGTCTCCGCCACTCGTCGGGTCCGCAGGGGTCCCTCGCCCCAGACGGAGATGTGGCACAAGGACCACGCTGTAGAAGAGCTCCCAGACATGACACTGTCTGGGACTGGACAATAAGGATGATGTTCCAATTGTGACAAGGATGGAAATCATCTTAAGCCACTCTTTAGACTCTTTAGTCATTAATGACGCAAAAAAGATGTTCGATTCGGAAGATTGACCCACATGGACCCCCCTTTTGCACCAACCACCCCTCTGGCCGTTTCTCGGCAGTCGTGGCTGGCAGTCCCAGACAGTGTCGCGTGAAACCCACGTGGGTGGCGACATCTCTTCGGTGGAAGCATCAATTCAATGAGGCTGCCTGAGGCTGCCTGCCACACCAAGCACTTCATTTAGGGGTCAGTCTGGGCGCCGGTCCTTTGTTTGGAGACTATACCCGCTAGAAGTCCAGTTCGACTATATTCTGACCGACTGATGTAATAAGTTCCTTTTGGGCCTCCCTATAGAGACCATTCTGTTTATCGTCTTTGACTTTTGGAGACTATACCCATGCTGCTGATGTAAGGATGGTTGATGAATGAAACCCATGAGGCCTGGAGATGTAAATGATTCTTGGGATGGAATTCATCAACAGGGTCTAAAATACTGAATACTACTAGTAGGTTCATTTGCTTACTTCACCGATGACCGCTGCCCGCAACCATATTGCCGACCTCAAATCTGTGGGGTGAGCTCATCTACCAGCTTTCCCCTCAGTGCTGGCTGAGGTTTGCATTGATATCTTCGTTTATGCGCCGGTGGCAAAGCAGCGACACTGGCAGAAGACGTCCAAGTATTCTCAGATCGATTGGTGGGATGCTTGGTAGGTATCGGGAGTGAAAACCGTCCGGTAGAGCAACGCATGGATGTGAGGGCAGACGGGTTGGGGTCTTTCCATGTTTTATCTATACTGACTATATACATCATATACTGACTCCACTGAGGGATAGAGCTGTGTGGAGCGTTGACAGATCCATATATACTGACTTAAGTGAGGGAAGAGCTGTGTGGAGCGTTTACAGATCCAGTGCTTCTTGTATGGCCTATGCCCTACGCCATCGGAATGGGAAAGGGATGGAGGGGGGGAAGTGATTACACCTGCAGTCTCAGTTCGTACCACAGAAGGGGTTGTGTTGTGCTTGTTTTTTGGTCCAGGTATAAACTGTTACTTTTTGGGAGGTGGAGGCAGGCAGGCAGGCATATGGAAGGGGTAGGGGCAGTACTGCCTGATTCATCAGTAGGATAAGTCAAACCGCAAGACCGACCGCGATTGCTGCGTTCAGCGAAGACACAGCGTAAGGGATTCACCAGTCGCACTGAAGATGTTTCGTGCTCCTACTGCAGCTCTTCATGAAGTCGGCTGTTTGGACCAATTCTTGGCTATTCTTAGACCTTCTTGCCGTCCACTCGTCGTACAGTAGCTAGCTCCGTTCTGCTAGCTCAGCTCCACTGGTCTGGCTTGTCTTGTTCTGCAAGACTAAGGAACGCGTGGATGACCATGCGGACTTCACGTTTCCCAAGGAGGCCTTGCTCCCCTTGCAGGAGGAGCCTGGCCCTCGGCCCACCCGGGAGGAAGTCTGTTTCAGCTGAGGGTTTCATCGAAAGAGAAACTGGTTTAGCAGCATGGGCCGGTCCTGACCGGAGGGACCGGAGTTTCAGCTTTGCCCAGCCTGGTGAGGAAGTGGAACTCGCGGGTGCCCTATGAGTTTTCACAAAGGCTCTGCACTACAAGGGACAAGATCGGGCACAATGCGCCTCAATCGGAGGATGTCCGTCCTTTTGGTAGATGCGGGTACAGCACACAAGTCACAAGTGTTGTATATATGTTTGCATGCTCCAAGAACCAATGACAGGTGCTCAGTATATGTCAAGAGCTTGTTTTGGACCCCATGGGACTCTATACTCCCGCATCATTCCAAGTTCTCCCATGACCACCATGACTTCTTCCACCCAACACGTCCTGTTTGGTTCCACCGATCTCTGTCCTTCAGCATGCAGCGTCCTCCGTCCGGCGCGGACGTCCTCACTCGTCAGGAGCGCTTCGTGGAGCAAGCGATCATGATCCCCGCGAACCCGCGGGAGTTCTTGAGCCCCTCGCCTTCGAGCGGAGCGCTCCGCGCGCTCCGCGCGCTCCGCGCGGAACGGGGAGAAGGTGCCCACCGTGGTGGAAGCCCGGGGAAGCGCGGCGGAAGGTGCCCCGCCTTCCAACCAACCAACCACGAGGGAGGACGACTAGGACGTTCCAGCGTATTTGGGTGGTTCTGGAAGGCGGTCGTGGATGGTTTTGGTGGTCCAAGGAGTCTGTGGACCTTCGGTTAGCCTGGGACTTCGGCAGGACTGACCCAGCAGCTCGGAACATGAGACGCGGCGGCCCTGGCCCTGAGTCGTCTTAGTACACACATGTTCCGAGGTGCTTAGAGACTTGGCGGATCCACTGGTTCAGATGCAGGAACAGACCGTCAGCCACCTAATCATATAGGGGAGCCGACCCGTCCTACTCAGTATGCCGGATTCGTTTTCTCAAAGTGATGAAGGAAGACTCGAGCGAATCCAACGGGGCCTTCAGACAAATCAACTTGTGGTCCAAAAGGTTTCGGGTTTAGGGTTAAGGGTCTGAATGCTACTGGGCGGGCTGCAGCCTCATGTGTATATATATATATGTTTTGCATTATGATATACTTATTGTGTATGAAGTATTAAAGACATGTTCTTTGATGTTCAATCGAGAGGTACATGCGAAATCGACTGCCCAACAAACTCACTTTGAGTCTGAGCCGTTTGAAAAGACAGTGCTAGCAGATCTGACCATGCTTCGGGCGACTCAGTGGGATGCATTGCCCATCGCCCTATAACAAGGGACCGTTAGCGGCACATACTATACCCAGACACGACACATGGGACTGCCATAGGACTGCCGATTAGTTGGGGAGGTGGTTTTGGGGGGGGGTCTGTCTGGGGCGGCAGTCCTGGCTGGCAGTCCCAGATAGTGTCGTGTCTGGGATAGACGTGTAAATGGCCGGTTTGCTTGCAGGTGGCCATGTTTGTCCCCGATTTGGTGCGTCCAAAAGAACGGCAGATAGCGCCAACAATGCCAAGGTAACCCGAACGGAAGGTGCTGGCATGTACACACCCACTGTACCAGGGGCCGCACAAACCATTTACATGGTTTTCCCTCGCAAAAGACCTGGTTGTTGTATCCCTAGGGATCGAAGTACCTCCTCAAAAGGCACTTGGACCCTCCAAACTCACCCCAAACACCTTCTCAGAGGGCACTTGGATCCTTAGGGTATGTGAACCACCGGTATTTTTTCATGGCTTTGCTCTGAGGGCCGCTGGATGCCGCTGGCATTGACTCGTTCAGCCTCCGTAGACTGCCGCCCCCCCCGTTTCTACTGGCCTACCTCGGACACGCATTCAGCCTAGGCTGGGAGTACGGTCGTTGCCTTGGTGCGCATGTCTGGCCCTGGAGGCTTCTGCTCTACACTGACCCTTCGGTGCCTTGGAGGACGTGAGTCGCGGCGGTTGGGGTGGAGGAGGACAGGAGCAGGTGGGACCGGACCCGGAGCAGGGGCGGAAGGGGCGGGTCTTTTGGGGTTGTAAGCCCGCTCCCCCTCTCTCCCCCCTCCCTAGTCCCTACTTCATGAAGTAAGGGACTAGTAGCGATGGCCTCCACCCTAGTAGCGGGGTGGGAGGAGGTGATCTAGTTCATTTGTAATCTGAGTCCAGGCCTTCAGTGTGTTCTTTTCCAGATCGGAATCATAGAGGGGGTCATTGCTCTATGGAACAAGGTTTATGTTGAGATGGTAGTGGGTTTCTTCGGGATGCCTGGAGGTCGGACTTTGGACTCTATCGTCTATTATAAAGTCTTTTTTAGCATCTATTGATATCGATAATGCAGCTGAGTTGAGCATTCTATCAGTTTCTTCTTGAGATTATTGTAGATATTGAGATTCTGAAGTCAACCGAAGTTGATTGAGGATGAGCTCTGGAGGTACTAGCCACAACTGATAACTCGACTTGCTTGTGTCACCTACCACTTGTGCAGCTCAACACATGAAAAAGGCTGAAGCAAGGCAGGCAGAAGCTCATGCCGTGGCTTGAACTGAACAGTCTTCTTTTTGAAGGAAGGTTTTCTATTTTGTGGGAGTCTCACCAGTCCTTGTAGAACAAGAATTACGCACCCCCCCCTGGCAGACGAACAGGAAGCCTGAGAATTGGACTGGTTTCGAGCATTTTCCTCTACGAGCCGGTGGTTTTGGGGGGGAAGCAGAGCCGGTCAACTCGCCGAGCCTTGCACCCGGGACTCGAGACAGCGTAAGAGTCGAGAGAGCACGGAAACGGAAGCCTTGCACCTCTCAGGAAGCCTTGCACCTGATCTTAACCGCCAAGGGTGCAATGCTCTTGTTGGGTACTTCAGGCCAGATCTTGGGTACTTATCCTGAAAGGGGATCATCATACATGCATGCCATGAGCAGTGCTTACTCTCCAGGGTCGCGATGTGGTCACGACCCTTCGTTCATGGTTGTTATGGGTGACTGGTCTCAGGAGGCTTTTAGTTGTTTTCAGGCTTCAGGCTCATTTACAAGCACTTCGGCTAGTGGCTTGCAAGGAGCCCTTCAGAGCTCACACCATCCATATTTCCCTTGAACATGAATCAACAGGCGGTGAGTTGTTTGGGGGTTTAGAATGTTCCATGTTCACCTTTTGCTGCTCTTCATGATGGCAAAAAATCATCAAGATGGCTTGATGAAAGGCCTCAACATCTTACCGGGCTTCCTCCTCTTGGGCTGCACCACTGCAGCGACACTTCTGCTGCGGAAGGGTTTGCTGCTGCTGAGCGTCTTGCTGCTGAGCCTATGTGAGGTGCACAGCTGAGTCTGATGCGTTTACGGCGGGGCTATACTGGCATGATAAGTGGTTGGGTGCTGGCGAGTAGGCTTGGTTGGTTGGTCAGCTTGTGGGAAAGGTGTGACCATGTGTGGGTGTATGGAAAATAGGAAGACCTCCCACCGAATCCAAAGAGCCAAAATAGATGGAAGAGCCACATATAGTCACATGTCACATAGTGGTTAGAGCATGTTGGAGCCTCCCTATCTTAAACACACCCAAAGTCCATACCCATGTCAAACAGGCTCAAGGCCGCACCAACCGAATCCCACGCAGCCGACGAGGACGTAGCAAGGCACCGAGTCAGGCACCAGCAGGCACCCTCCCCGTTCCGTTCGGTCGATGATTTTTAGTGAAACTGGAACCACCAAGAGAGGTTATGAAACCTTATAGGACCCTACTGGGGTACCCAACTGGGATAGTCTGGATAGTCTATAACGACTTTGAACGACCTCGTGGTTCGCCTGAATATGCCGAGAACTGTTTCCCTGGGTCTTACAGTGTCCCAGATGTTCAAAGCACACCCATCATGTATCACTAGTATACCAGGTTCTTCCGATTCCCTTCCAGTTCGAAGGAACTCAACGAACAGAGAACACATGGCCCCTCCCACATCGGACGACGGCCCAACTTTCGCCTCCACTGCCTCCACTGCCTCGCTCGCTTCATCGGCAGTCTTTGGCGCTGCTGCTGCGGCCCGACTGGTGTAGCTTGAGACGGATGCACTTGGCGCTGGTCGTGGTGCTTTGGGCGGTGGGTGCCTGGGCGTGCACACGTGTTCGGCGTGCGCGCGTTTGGTGTTCGCAGATCAAGTGGAGCGAGGTTTTGGTAACCCAATGGCCTTTGCTTTCGGCTTAGTCATGTTCAGAATGTTAGTAAAAGCAGGTTGTGGCCAGATAGCTTTGGTCACGTTCATCAGGAAAAGCTCCCTGTTTGACCTCTCCTGGCCTGGAATAAGCTATTAGCCATAGCCAGTGTATACATAGCACAGCTTGTATAGATGACCACTGCGCAGCCCTTTTGTGGAAAAAGTTCGTTTATTATTCATATTGGAATTCTGGTACATTGGGCCACTTGAATCGGATATATATCCACACAGAAAGGCACATCCAACCGCCCGCCTCCAGACGCCCCACACATGAGATTTGCATGGGTGAAACCCGAACTCGTCACTTCACTGCCTGTTCGTTGTCGGAGAATAATAACTGTTATATACTGTTATATTTCATTTGTCCATCATATTCCTGAATCACATGGAGTCTTTGTTGGAAAACATGATAAACACATGGAGTAATATGATAGATTGTTCACGTTTTTTTCCAGCTCGAGATCCCTGGGACACTTGCATGATATCCAACCGTTTGTGTCTTCGGTCTCGAAGTTTCACTTCTGGACATCCTTGGCAGGTGTTATGAACCCAGGCTGGTTACTTTCTAGGGATGCTCATTTAGGCTCAGTGCCCGGTGGTCCAATCAAAACCACTTGTAACTCTAAAGTATTCTAAAGTGAGTTAGCCCATGTTCGAGCTATATTATGGCACTTGTGCAATTTGCTGGGTGAAATGCCTTCCCCTGTTTTTTTTTGCCAATAATCCGTGTTTCGATCCTTACTCCCACACCGGATGTGTCCCTGGTTTGCCAATCGCCGATTGATCAAAATCTTCGGATGGACTCTGCCGTTTGATCAATCCACTTCTTCATAAGGCCTGCAAGCGCTGCAGGGCTGCATCGATCAACTCTGGTGCGACTCAGCGAGTGGAACGATTCCAGCGGTGGGACGAGTCCCCTTCCACCGGATTGTTGAAAAGACACCAGAGCGGGGATTTTGCGGTTCCTAAAGATGAACCAGTGGAAGCAGGTTGAATCTCTTTTTTTTTCTGGTGATTCTTGAAGAAGAACAGCTGTAGAGAAAGAGAGCGATGCAGAAGCCCTCTTCTTGAACCAAGCACACCGTGGCTTCTTGCGACTCGGAGACTGCAGAGGGTGCTGACTCAGAGTTTTTTTACTCCGAGTCAAAGTCAATTCAACTTCCACATTTGCGACCTCAAGTGGAGTCTAAACTTGCTGTGCCAAGTACCCCGTCAGTATGGACTCCTTGTTGGCTGTGGTTTTTTCTTCCCCTGGCCTATAATTAGTGAGAGATCGACTGCTAAGGGTTCATACATTCTCTTGAATTGGTCCATTGGACCAGATATAGATTTTAAGGACCACCTTGGACACCCCCCCAAACAGTTTAACCATCCGTCTGTGGCGTTCTCCAACAACAACAACAACAACAACACTTCTTCAGTGAACAAGCATGGTTTACCAGCCTTCGTGGTCCGTCACTGGCACAGACACTCCGTGAAAAACAGCTTGACCGGCTCCTCAAAACCTGGTGAGAATCCCCCGACCCCTCACCAGTGCATTGACCGGAGTCTGTGTGGGTCAATGCCAAGCTGCTCGGAGTAGCGCGACAGCGCTGATCCAAGAAATCTTCCATTCCAACGGAGGTCAGAACATGCTTCGACTATCCCGGACGATCCCAGGGTACCCCAGGACCCGGTCCCATCGATGGTTTCCCGCCCAGTCAACCCATCGGATCCAACCTCGGGCCAAGGGGGGTTGATAGAGCCACACACCCGCGAGGAAGGAGAAGGTTTAGATCCCATACCAGGAGTCGTAGATCCAATTGCCCATACCAGGAGTCACATGTCGCTCGGGGTGGTGTGGTGTGTGGCTCGTCCCATCTTCCAGGGGGCCCTGGGATGTGATGTTCTGGACCGGAGTCCGCACCCCTGAGCCCGAACGTGACTGCCCATAGAAGCTCAATTCCAAACGCCTATACCTACAGAGGTAGCCGGTGACCGGGACCATAGGACCCGGAAAACCAGGAGTACCTATATAGGATAGTCGAACTAGGGTTCTGACCCACCTCTGCTGGTACCACCTGCGTGGACCGATGGACATGGCAACCCACGGCGGACCGTCGTTCCTCTGGGGGCGCGAGCTGTCGCGAGAAGCGAGTCGCAGCGGAGAGCTGTGCTGAGACTGCGAGGCCAAGTGGATGACTTCTACTTTTCTCCGCGGAGACCCAAGTCCTGGACTTTGTGCCTCCTGGGCCACTGCTGGGACTTCTGAAAGCTCAGAGCTGGCAAGACTGGAGAGATGCGGAGAAAAGGTGAGCGGAGACAGATATTCCATGTTACCACCATTGATTGAATAGCCTGAATTCCGAACTACGGAGCTGTTTTACAAAAGATCGCTACAAAACCAGGCTAGGGGTTCTGTGTGAGGTAGGACGAGGTAGGTATAGGGGCTGTAGCACGGTATGCATAGCCATGCATGGCCACGCAGAGCCGGGTCGGAAAGGAAAGGAGGTGCATGAAGATCCACGAGATGTCCTTAATGGGTGTGTATTGTATATCCGAGAAACCCCTGATCGCCGGCTGGGTCGACTGGTTGACTTTTCTCTTCTTCCAGGGAATCGATCCGGGAGCTGGACACCTATTCAAATACACACCCAATGAAGCTCGGGGCCGGGGCTACTCCAATGAAGGTCGATGTCTTCACCATGATTCACCGGTGCATGTATGACTCTGGGTCGCTCAATGCCAGGTTCGGATGGCAGCCATCAAGACGGCGCGGGATGAGAGTGGAGAGCTGTGGGGGGGGGGGGGGGGGTTCGTGAGCTTCATGAGTGTTAGAAAGGAACGAGAAGTGGGTCGTCCTCAGCAAAGAAGAACGACTGTCACTTGTCCTTCCACAAAAAAGGGAAGCTTCAGCTATTCGCCACACGTAGGTCAAACACTAAAACACTGAAACTAAGGTATTTATTGGGTCTGTCCTATTACTTGTAACAGGACCCGTAAACAATTATATCTATTTTTGAACAAGGCCTGTAACCTAACCATCATCATCCACTGTTACAGGTATTAGGATAGACCCAAGGTACTATGTTCCACGCAAGCTGTACACGTTCGCTGATAATATTTCTTGTACCTTCAACGCTCGCAAACTCTGACCTGTCATTTCTCTTCTCCGCAGCCCTTGGGCTATTGGCAGGATGAGACTGGCCTTCTGACGATGTACTGCGGGTGAAGATCTCGGGAAGAAGAACACCAAACACCAGACTACCCTGTAGGCTTCCAAACACATCCAAACACCAGGTCGTTCCCATGGTTTTCATGGTCGAACGGAAGTCTAGGACCAGGGGGTCACCCATTAGGCCAGAGGGTCTTCCTTTAACAATTCATACTTCCAGGACCTTCCCAGTGACCTTTCCAGGACCGACCGGTCCTCAAGGTGTCCGGGTCACTGAGGTCACTGAAAGACCTATAGTTCTGTGCTTTCGGTCACCTACTAAGCCTGAAAAGGCCAGGTGGCAAGGTCCTGGCCCGGTTTGTGACATGTTTTCAGGGTTCTTGATTTGCTTGATTTGCATTGGTCCTCCAATTGCTCCTCCGAAAGCTCCGCGCGCGCCAGGTGGCAAGCCTCCTGCAAGCCGCCCCAAGGCCTCTGTACAGAGCGAGAATGACGCGAGGATGAAGCGTGTGGGTAAAAGACAGGAGATGGTTGGATTCAGGTCTTCATCACAGTCATCACATACTGTATCATCACAAAGTCGCAACAAGTAACTACCCTCCCTGCAACAAACATGGAAGTTTGTCCTGTCGACAATCCCCTGTTTGTAGAGGAAACTGGTCATCCAAGGGGTCATTGTCCACGGGGCCCCTGGTTGACCACTGAACATGAACAGAATCAACTGCTGAGGAGGTCAGCCCAGGAGGGTTTAGGGCTCTAGGTTCTGACCCACTGCCAATTTCAGGGAGTGTAGGTCTAAATCCCTGAGACTCCAAGACTATACTAAAAATATGGTCTTTGACTGTGAAGGTCCCCCCAAAAATAGTCTGACTTCCAGGGAATTAGTGATGAATCGTTGTTTTTGGCATTTTGGCCACAACAATTCACACCCTGCACGTCTTAACAACCACAGACTGTGTTTTTGGCTTTGAGGGTCGTGTTTCCGAACCTTTTTGACACCCGGGCCCAGCATCAGGCCGGTGGTACAACGGCGTATTCTACAAGCGCTGACTGGTGGCATGGCCAAGGTGAGGAAGAGGAGACAGCGAGCGGTTGTCGGTGAAGATGGAGCGATCTCCTGGTGATTTCGGCTTCATTTCAGGGGTCCATGTACTGTAATTAGATAGAAAAAACCTGGATTTTTGTTTGCAATTCTGCCAACCTTTGCCTGTTTCATCTTTATGGATGACATTTCAAGAGGCAGACAAATGATGTGTGTTTTTTCAGGGAAGATCCACGGCTGCAGGTCAAAGCTCAGAATGAAGCATGTGGTCCTCAAGCCGAATATGGCAACATGCGAGATTGGATGTGACCTCGTTGCCACCAGTTCAGCCAGCTCAGCCAATCCCTCAGACATGGTGGACTGGCCCATGCCCTACAAGCGTACTATATAAGTGAGTGCAGAATGCTGAGTGCAAGTGCGTAAGGATTTGAGTAATAGCGCTAAGGATTTTTACTAGTAGCTCTCAGCTGCTAGAGGCTTATGCAAGCACAAATGAGTGATGTTTGTGATGTCCCGCCAGCGAAAACGAGCCCGCCTCCAGCCTTCTAGTCCCGACACATGTGTTTTCGGTTGTTCTCAGCGAAGGTCCCTTGGAATGATGCTCCGTGCCCACAGTTGCCATAGTACCCCAGCTGGATTGGGACGGAGTCTGCAAGAATGGCATGCACTTGGCCATCTTTCTGCAGACTTGCGATCACGCCCACATGCCGACGCTCAGACAGCAAACCGGAGCGGAGAAAACCGCAAAGCAAGATCCAAATCCATTGGATTCAAGACGAACGAGTCACGAGTCCTTAATTCTGTTATTTCTTTTTGGCGGATCTGCAACTCTGCAACCTTTAGGGTTTGGGCTCTCAACGTTTTTGGAAGGGGCTCAACTATAACATGATTGTTTGAAACACATGTTTATTTGCATGCACCTCAGAAGCTGAACCAGAACGCGTGTTATCGCGTGTTTTTCAGTGCAAAGACGGGAGAACCTTCCTTTGTTTTTATTGGACCATGGTCCAACAAAAACCCAACGGTCGAGCTTAGTATAGCTGAGTGGAACCCAACGTGTGCATTCCAATATCTTGGGGTCAGCTTAGGGCTACTCCAAGTGCTGCTCGAATGCTGGCAGGTGAAGAATTGGCGGTGTCGGCAGCTGGCAGCGCAGCAGTTAGGCACGGTTGGGTGAGGAGTCAATGGAGGATTGTGAAGAGAGGGTCACTTGCTGGCTGAAGGCGTGACCCAGCCCCAAAAGTCAGCCTGGCTGAAAGCTCTTTAAACACGAGCCCTTCTTGGGAGGACAGGTCGATCAAGTTGCATTCTATCTCCTCTTGGAAGTACTTAGAGTGCAACTCCATATCAAGGACATCAATCTCAGTTTTGGCCAATCAAGTGTTGGCAGAATCCCAGATTCCGTGCGGCTGGACATTCATTCTCCACATTCCGCATGCACAACTTGGGGGGGGGCCAAGGCCAAAGCAATGTCTAAGGTTTTCCGCTTAGCGAGCTGATCCAACCATAGCTTCTTGCTCCCTAGTAGCTTCTTGTTACTAGTAGTATGGCCAGGAGCTACTAGTAGCTTCTTGCTCCTAGTAGCGATGCCCTTTGTTCCTAGTATAGCTTCTTGCTTGCGTATCAATATAAACAACAGCCCGATGAGAGTTTCAATAGTTTTTTGACTTTCCGCATGTTCTTGACTCCAACCATCAATCTAAACTCCTGTTTGCAAACACTATTTAGGGATGTGTCAAGGGCACTCGGTGCGAACCCATTGCTTCACCGTTGAGTTCCCCAGAGTTTGCATCATCGATTTCACCAAAGCCCTACGGCTCGGACCCTTGAAATAACAATGAACTCCACATGACGTGGCGAACTCCAACTTTCGCCAGAAACCCAGCTGGATAGACCTCTCTCTCTCTGGTCGGCCCAAGACCGCGCAGGGCCAATTTGCTTGGAGTTCGGCCCGTTTGGGCTGCTCAGGAGTTTTTGTTGAGATGTTCGGGTGGTTGTTCGGAAGGTGAAGATTCTGCAAGACGGATGGGTCTTCCTTCAAATCCAAAAAGATTTCTGGGCTCGAGAGGACCGGTTTTTCGGAAGATATTTGATCAATTTTGATCATATCATATCCATATCACCGGCAGCCGAAGAAACAAGGACGACACGACTGCACAGGCTATGACAGCCTATGGGCGGCGTCCGTTTGGACCGAGCCTCGGAGACCGAACTGCCGAAGATCCTTTTGGGCAGTTCGGTCTCCCGAGACTGTCAGGTGTGGAGTGGGGACCTGATACCAGGCCCCAGGATTCTTAGGGTATGAGTGCATATTTTAAGAGGGAAACACTCAACCTCACTCAACGGTGTATGATATACTTCACTTCTTCACAGGGTGTCTTTGGGAGGTCTCCTTATTTTAATACAGCCACATGTTAATTTTTATCACAATCCCAGTCACCTGAGACTTAGTTCTTCCGTGACCAGGATGCGTCGCGGGCACGTGGCCACGTTTTCTTACCCAGCGAAGAGGATGGAGCATATGGCTGAATCCTACTGCGGGTCGTAGGGGCGGGTCGTAGGATACTTTTCAGTGCTTCTCGAGACTCCAAGATTGGATCTCAATCCCCCATAGTAGATCTAGTAGTGTCACTGCATCTCTACCAGCACCTCCAACAGGTCACGAATTGAAACCTCCAACAGGGCCACCCTGTAGAGTCGGAGACAACCTGTAGAGTCGGGTGCTGGTATAGTAGAAACATGGGGTGGCCACTTGGAATGCTGACATCAAAGGGTGGCTCCTAGACTCCAAAGCACTCACATAACCGCGTTCTTTTCAGAAGGCTTGCAGCTCAGAGCTGTGGTCTGGCGGGGTTGCAGCTCCTGTTTTGGCTCCTTTGACACTGAAACCTTTCAGCCCTGGCTCCGGAGCTTTGGGTGCTTGAAGCCTAAAAAGATCCGACAAGTAGATCGAGGCGTTGGACAATGTCTTCAAAAAGGATCCCCAAGCTACACATCTTTGTCACTGACATGGGACATCTCCCCATGTCATGTCACGCATGGCACGTCAGACGGTCCAGCCACTTGAGGCGAGCCCTTCAGGCAGCCGGCCCGTACGCGTCGCCCGTACGGCGGAG